CTAAGATATAAGCTAAATAATAAGCTAAAAGATCTAAGATATACGCTGATATAAGCTAAATGATAAGCTAAAAGATCTAAGATATATGCTAAGATATAAGCTAAATAATAAGCTAAAAGATCTAAGATATACGCTAAGATATAAGCTAAATGATAAGCTAAAAGATCTAAGATATACTTAAAAATGAAAAATGACAAAATATAACTCCTAAAACTGCTAAAACTTGATGCCACTTCATTTTTATTTTTATTTACAGAAGAAGAAGAAGACGTGTCTTCAGAGGTTTTTGTGTCGTTTCTTTCAGTAGTTCTTGGTGCAGCGCCCCCACAGGCGAGCGGGGGAATAGGTTGGTTCAACAGGTTGACTCGACTGCACAGTGCAGTGTGAATGCAAACGCACCAGCTCAAATGTAAACAAAAGGTCATGAATATTGGTCCCGAACCGAACCGAGTCTACCGGACTATCTGGTGTGAAAACGACCTTAGACAATAATCACCTAGCAAAGTTTGTTATTGTGACAGGCCTAGATACAACGCCGTCATTTCTCAACAAAAGGGGATCTTAGTGCAAAACTCCAGCATGCATTCCTTCAAGAAATGTTGTCTTTTTTAAATTTAGCTAATGTGTTCATCATTCCAAAAGTTTTCTGCACATACATACAGGGGACTTCAGGAGATAAATATGTAAAGGGAGATATATTTTTATATCTGTCAGAAAAAGGAGAAAATGAGTAGGGGAGCGTAAGTGGTGAGTGTAAATATGGCATGTCCATGGGTGGTGATTTATTTTGTTTTTAATTCCTCCATTCTCCTTTGAAGTTTGTGAAATGGTTGCCAGACTGTAGCCTTCAGAAACAGCAGTCTCTGTGTGGTGAATTTGGATATACAGCTAGAAGTTGAATGCAGCAGAGGGTTGCTGTGTGGCCTAAGGCAGCAGCAGGAATATTGTTGGCCTCAGCTGGCTTGTTAGTAAACTGTCAGATGCTTTTCATTCCTTTGTGCACACACACACAATTAGCTAATTCAAACCGCACATTGTCATTAAAGAAATGCCTTATGTGTGTCAACGTCTGGTCGACACTGCACCAACAAGTTTACAAATCTGGTACAAACAAACTCGGTGTCAGTTAATTAACTGAGCAGCTGATAAATGAGCAAAACTGAGTGAATTAAGTTGAAATTGATTATTTTTATCATCACTAAGCTGGTGAATGTTTCATTGGTTTATTATAAAAAACGAAGGAAAAGATGTTTTGTCTCTGCATTTGTCCGTTTTGTTTGTTAGCAAAATATCTCATAAATCACACGAGTTTAAAAAAACGTATATAGAAAGAGGATGCATGTCTTGGAGTTGCAGCTCTGATCTTAGCAAACACAAATAATAACATTAACACATTCATTTTTACAGATGTTGAGCTCAGAGTTGGTGTGGTAGTAGTTGACAGTTGTTGGCAATGGGTTGCACAAGAGCTTTGTTGAAAACTTTGTCATGCAGGGTGGTGGGCGATATGCATCCTTTCACATCTTTTGCAGTGAATTTTTGTGGAAAATTGATGAACAGTTATCATTTTATGGTACAAGTATGTAAATATAACCATATAGTGCATAATTGAAGTTGATGTAAAATTCATTAAACAGCGTTCACATGGATTGCTGTAAAGTTGTCAAAAGTGAATATAAATTGTTTTAAAACTGCAGCAATTCACCTTGATCTTGGACACACTCAGACTAATTGTTAGCAGTTAGAATTAATATTTTTTATCCTCCAAGTTGAGGTCATTCAATGAGCTATCTACAACAGGTAAGATAATAATTGTTGATAACCTTTTCACAGATAGATTCTACTTCGTAATGTCTGAACTTGTACAACCACTGACCTATGTGTGTCAACTTTACAAATCTATTTTCTGTTTATAAGTTTTCTCCCTATAACAAGGGCGTTTAAATGTCAGAGGTACTCTACTTTTGGTAAAATATTATAAGAATCTGTCAGTGGTAATTTATAGTGAGGGGGGATGTGAGTAAAGAAAAATAAGTTAGGGAGATGAAAAAGCTGAGGAAGAGGAGTGAACCCTTTCAGAGTTAGTGTTCAGTGCTTACAGAGACAAATCAATTTACGTTTGTCTCATGTTTGTCTTCATACCACACCTACTCACACACAATGCACATTCAATTTCCCAGGTGTTGAAAATCTCTGTTTAATGTGAGCATATCCATCGGTCGTCGCAATCATTTCATATGTTCACTCTGTGAGGGCGTTTATCTGTTAAATGGAGATTGATTTTTAGCTGATGCTTAGAAATAACCTGCATGGAAATGATAACCGGAGGCTTTCCATCCATTTAATGGCAACTTGAGCCATTCGTTCCTTACTGGGATGCAGAGAGTCAGCAACACTTCGCTCCCTCCTTGTATCACTGTCAGGACGTGGCTTCAGGCTCTGCAAAACTACAGTCAAATATAGAGAAGACATTCACTGTGAGCCTGTTAAACTCACTTCGCTGTGTGCCGACTCTGCCGTCCTTTTGCTTTGTTTTGTAAATTTTCTTGTTCCATCACAGCTCACTCTGTCATGTAGTTTTGACCAGCGGCGTTTGATTGAGAGCGGGTTGTAATAGATATTGTTTCTATTTCTAACAGTGAAAGTGGCAACAAGAAATCATGCAGCAGGATACACATTATTTTCAATAATAAGTTGGGTTTTTTTGGGTGGGAAATTCAGGTATTAACAGATTGCTTGTTTTTTTTAGAAGCAGTGTGGGTAATGTAGTATAAACAGTAAATAGTCAGAATTCCTCTTGAGCTCAATCTCTCTGGAGAGATGAAAGATGGACCTGGCATGTGACTAATTGGGAGTGTTGGCATAACGGGATTAGAGAGGAGAGCCTGAGGACACCACTGTGGGTTTGAGAATGAGAATATTTATAATGTGTGTAACAAGCTTGCAGAAGAAGCTGTTTTCTCGTTCAGGAAGGTTGATGGTTCAAGTGGAGATACTGGACCGTTCCATGTT